TTCGTTCCTCTCTCCAACCGACATACGATCTCACACAGATCTTACGCTATAGTTTAGGGTAAATTATGACATACCTTAGCTGCAAGGATTTGAACACCAGCAAACTTGTCGTCCCAAGAGAACGCAGTTCTTGTCCCACCGGTATTACCAGACCCACCCAAATAGTTAAGGTAGGTTTGATCCCCAGTTGCACGATAAAGCCAAGCAGAAGCCCACAACAGTTCATCCTTAATTGTATCAAACATTTTCGATTAAATTAAGGAACAAAATCCAACAAACCCCATACTCGACCGAACCAAAAACAAAACGTACCTGAAATCCAGAGCTTGAATAGAACTTGCCTGCTACAGGAACACTATTTTGGTATAACCCTTGATTATTCCTTGCGAAATCAAAGAGCTATGAACAAAATAAAAACAACAAAATTTAGAAAACAAGACATTCCAATCGACATTCTTGAAGTTAAGAGTATCAGAAACCTGTTTTGCATGGCGAAGAAGCGTGTTGGAATAAGCAGGATTCGAAGACTTGAAAGCAACGGAGGCGGCGGCGAGAGCGGCGGCAGACTCTCCGGCGAGGTCAGAGCCGGGATGTTGGCTGTCGATCCGGAAGGAGGTGCGGGGCGTGGTCATGTCTTCGGGTCTCATCCAACAGCTATGATCTGAGTCGCCATCGCCGACCTCACAATACATCACATTGGGTTCTGTATGAGCCTTTAGTAAGTAATCCGTTCCCCATTTAATGGCGGTAAGAGCGTTTTGTAGTTCATGCTTGGCGCCAAGTTGGGCCTTGTATTCCACAACGCTCCATGATAGCATTGTCAATGTGAATGCCATTGGGAACCCGAACTTCACGTTGTCTCCCGCATCGTAATACCCTCCCACCAAATCTATCTGTTCACTTCAGATTTTGTCAGTTTACGATGATATAATCGAAATATGAATGGAAATCACGACATGCAAACGAAAAAATTTAAATCTTACACGGAACAACCTAACAACATAACAACAACAACAACGTAACGAACCAATCGACGTAAGTCTAGTTCTAATAGATATTGTCAGTTTTAGTCGGTTATATATGGTTGTATCCCTCGCAATTTTAACTTCTGTCTATTATAGAGAGGTTTCACACCGTTATAACGAATGCTTCGTTCCCCTCTACAATCGACGTGGGATCTCACAATCTACCTCCCTTGGTGGTCCAACGTCCTCGCATGGCACACTGCCTGATAATTGGCTCTGATACTATTTGTATCAGTCCAAGCTCACGATTTTAAATCGTGTTTCTCTACAATCGACGTGAGATCTCACAAATCCAGCTCCCTTGGTGGTCCAGCGTCCTCACATGGCACACTGCCCGATAATTGGCTCTGATACTATTTGTATCAGTCCAAGCTCACGATTTTAAATCGTGTCTGTTAAGGAGAGGTTGTCACACCGTTATAAGAAATGTTTTATTCCCCTCTCCAACCGATGTGGGATCTCACAATTCACTTCTCTTGATGGTCCAGCATCCTCGCATGGCACACTACCCGATAATTGGCTCTCATACTATTTGTATCAATTCAAGCTCACGATTTTAAATCGTGTCTGTTAGGGAGAGATTTTCACACCGTTATAAGAAATGCTTTATTCCCCTCCCCGACCGACGTGGGATCTCACAATTCACCTCCCTTGAGGGTCCAACGTCCTCGCATGGCACACTGCCCGATAATTGGCTCTGGTACTATTTGTATTAGCCCAAGCTCACGATTTTAAATCGTGTCTGTTAGGGAGAAGTTTTCACACCGTTATAAGGAATGTTTTATTCCCCTCCCCGACCGATGTGGGATCTCACAATTCACCTCCCTTGAGGGTCCAGCGTCCTTGCATGGCACACTGCCCAATAATTGGCTCTGATACTATTTGTATCAGTCCAAGCTCACGATTTTAAATCGTGTCTGTTAAGGAGAGGTTTTCACACCGCTATAAAGAATGTTTTATTCCCCTCCCCGACTAATGTGGGATCTCACAATTCACCTCCCTTGAGGGTTCAGTGTCCTCGCATGGTACACTGCCCAATAATTGGCTCTGGTACTATTTGTATCAGTCTAAGCTCACGATTTTAAATCGTGTCTGTTAGGGAAAGGCTTTCACACCGTTATAAGAAATGTTTTATTCCCCTCCCCGACCGATGTGGAATCTCACAATTCACCTCCCTTGAGGGTCCAGCGTCCTCGCATGGCACACTGCCCGATAATTGGCTCTGATACTATTTGTATCAGTCCAAGCTCACGATTTTAAATCGTGTCTATTAGGAAGAGATTTACACACCAATATAAGTAATGTTTCGTTCCCCTCTCCAACCAATGTAGGATCTCACAATCCATCTCCTTTGAGAGCCAGCGTCCTCACTGCCACACCGCCCGATGACTGGCTCTGATACCATTTGTAATGGTCCAAGCCCACCGCTAGCAGATATTGTCTGCTTTGGCCCATTATGTATCGTCGTCAGCCTCACAATTTTAAATCGCGTCTGTTAGAGAAATGTTTCCACACCCTTATAAAGAATACTCCGTTCCTCTCCCCAACCGACATGGAATGTCACACTTAAAACCTAGCTTTTTTACGCAAGTATTAAAACTTACGCCTGCATCTTTGCCATCATGGAGGCCAGAATCTCCACGCCATTGAACTCTTTGATTTCGGGGCAATTTTCCTGATCTTTGAGCCTCATAATACAGCAAAGACTTTGTTAAAGCTCCTTTATAGTCAACTCCAAGGCAGCCATGGATATGAGCAAGAACAACTCCAAGCCCAACCAGCATACCAACAATGCTACTCGAAGAGGAAGAAGAAGAAGAAGCCATATTAGCAATCTTTACAAATGTTGGTGAAGAAGAAGAACATAGGGTTGGTTTATATAGAGAAAGATTATGATGATATAATTACCATTGCCATATCAAACAAAAGGAAACCCTTTGGTTCCACAGTTTCTTTTGGTAAATTATTATTATTTTCACTCATTTCTTTATTTATGTTCTTCATCGTCTTCTCCTAAATTGACTAATTTATCATACTAACTCTTAAATTCAGCCCACAGTGAAAGGTCAGTTGCCATTTTTAAGCATTTTTTACTTCTCTCCCATTCTTCAGGAAAATACAAGATCAAGTTGCCTTTTTTTATCAAGTTTCTTTTTATATCAACTTTTACTTCAAACTTTTACTATCCAAGTTCCAACGAATGTTTGCATTATTTACCGTGTAAGACTAAGTTTTACCATCTTTACTTTAGAGATAAAAAGGGTTGAGATATGATTGAAAGTATTCAAACTACCAAGATTTTAGGAGATTGTTAGTAGATTTGAATTTATCTAGATTTCCATAATTTACTCTTTCTGTTCGGTGCCTATAAATATTGGAATTGTGTAACTCTGGTAAGTATTGAGTCAGAAAACAATAATAAAGCACTTAACTTTGATCTATTCCTATCTCTTTCAATATCCCTTTCCCAACAAATTTGGTATAGAGCCAAGTTCTTGTCAACACGAGAGTGAGTGATTATTTTTTTTTCACAAAACGAAAATAGCAGTAGCTGGTTTTTCTTTCTTTGCACCGTTGTTACCAATTTTTAATGGTGAGAAATATGAGTGGTGGAGCATCAAGATGAAAACCTTGCTCAGATCACAGGAGCTATGGGACTTGGTGGAGCACGGGTTCGTTGATGTATTAGAACCCACAATAGAAGTAAAGGAGAGACTAAGAGAAACCAAGAAAAATGATGTCAAGGCTTGTTCATTATTCAGCAATCAATTCATGAGACTATTTTTTCACGAATTGCAGCAGCAACCACATCAAAGCAAGCATGGTTAATTCTACTGAAGGAGTTTTAAGGAGATTCAAAGGTCATAAAAGTGAAATTGCAATCTCTAAGACGTGATTTTGAAACTCTGCTCATTACGAATGGTGAATCAATTGCTGACTTTTTGTCAAGAGCAATGGCAATAGTCAGTCAGATGCGTACCTATGGTGAGAAAATTTCAGATGAAACAATTGTTGCAAAGGTGTTGAGAAGCTTAACTCCAAAGTTTGACCATGTGATGGCTAAGAAACTAAGGATCTACCAATCCTTTTCGTTGATGAACTGATGGGTTCCCTTCAAGCTCATGAGTCAAGAATCAATAGATCATCAAGAAAGGAATGAAATAAAGGCACTACAAGTGAATGAGACAGCCAACAACGAAGGCAACGAAAGAGAAAACATTCCTTTAGCAAGTAGAAGTCGTAGAAAAGAATTTCGCAGCTTCCATGGTGGTTGTGATAACAGGGATAGATGGAGAAATGATGGACAAAGGTAGTTCAATGAACAATTGCAGAAGGTATGGGCACACAAAAGCGGATTGTTGGTATAAAGATCAACAAATGAATTCTGCAGCAGAAAATGAAGAAGGAGAAGAAAAGCTTTTCATGAATACCAAAGAAAGGTGACTTATGGTTTGTTGACAGTGGATGCTCGAACCATATGACAGGTACCAAATCCTTATTCCAAGAATTTGATAAGACGCAAAGAATTAAGGTGCAACTTGAAAATACAAAAGAGATGCAAGTTGAGGAAAAAGGCACAATGAAAGTCGAAATCAGTCATGGTAAGATAAAACTATTAGATAATGATACAAAAGAGATTATAGTTGAAGTTTCTCAAGATGAAGAGACAAGGGTCAACTCTAGTGATCTCCTAGTGCCTCCCTGTCAAATTCATCATCTCTAGCATCACTAAATAGCAACTCTTCTCTTGAAGAATTTTCGGATGAGACATATCCAAAGAAGTATAAATCTTTAGCTGACATATATGCATCATGTCAATTTGCTCTTACTGTTTCAGACCCTATGAATTATGAAGAAGCAGCTGAAAAAGAAGAGTAGAAGAAAGCCATGGTAGAAGAGATGCAGTCCATTGAGAAAAATGGAACATGGGAGATGGTTGACTTATCAAACGAAAAAAATGCAATCAATTTGAAATGGGTGTTCGAGACCAAATTTGCACTAAATGGAAGCATACAAAAGCATAAGGCTCGTCTTGTAGCAAAAGGGTATGCGCAACAAGGTATAGATTTTGAAGAAACTTTTTCTCCAGTAACTCATTTTGAAACTGTAAGAACTATTCTAGCATTAGCAGCAGAATTGCAGTGGTTGGTTTATCAATTGATGTCAAGTCAGCATTTCTTAATGGAAATTTATAAGAAGAGGTCTATGTAACACAACAAGACGGATTCATAAAGAAAGACAAAGAAACAAATATATACAAGTTGAGAAAGGCATTATACGGGTTAAAGCAGACCCCTCGAGCTTGGTATAGTAAGATTGATGGATATTTAAAAAAAAAAAAAAAAAGATACACGAGAAGTGAGAATGAGCCTACTTTATATGTGAAGAACGAAGGTAAAAGTGATTTCATCATTATTTGCCTATATGTTAACGATATCATTTACACTAGCTCTTCTAACTCTCTTTTAGATAAATTTAAGTCTTAAATGATGAGTGAATTTGAGATGTCGGATGAGTCTATTACACTATTTTCTTGGTCTTGAAGTATATCAAGTTGAAGATGGGATTTTTATTTCACAAATAAAATATGCCAAAGATATTATGAGTAAATTTAATTTGGTATGCTTAATTGTAAGCATGCAACTACACCTATGAATATTAATGAGAAATTACAACATGAGGATGGAGCAGAAATGACAGATGTTAGAAGGTTCAAGAGCTTGTGGGCGGACTAATTTACTTAACCGACACACGACCCGACATTGCATTTCCTATTGGTATTATTTCTAGGTTTATGCAACATTCTTCAAAGGTTCATTATGGAGCAGCAAAAAGAGTCTTACGTTACATTGCCGGAACTATGGAGTATGGAATTTGGTATTCTAAATCCTCTAATTTCAAACTATGTGGATTCACCGATAGTGATTGGGCAGGATCATTAGATGATAGATGAAGCATTTCAGCCAATATTTTCACTTTAGGATCAAGAATGATCACTTGGAGCTCAAAGAAGCAACCAACAGTGGCGTTGTTAACGTCAGAAGCAGAATATGTTGCAGCAACTTCAGCAGCGTGTCAAGCTATTTGGCTAAGAAGAATGGTAGCTGATCTTCAACAAGAGCAAAAAGGGGCAACAAAGATATTTTGTGATAACAAAGCAACTATTTCTATGACAAAGAATCCAGCATTTCACAGTAGAACAAAACATATTGAACTTCGACATCACTATATTCGTAATCTTGATGCAGAGGAAGAAATTGTCTTCGAATATTGTAACACCAATGAATAGTTAGCAGACAAACTTACTAAGGCTTTGTCAAAAGAAAAATTTTGCTACTTCAAACGATTAATTGGCGTTTGCAACTTTGAATCAATAGTAGTGTTGAGATATGATTCAAAGTATTCAAACTACCAAGATTTTAGGAGATTGTTTGTAGATTTGAATTTATCTAGATTTCTGAAGGTTAGTATATAAGCCTATAAATATTGAAATTGTGTAACTATTAGTATTGAGTCAGAAAACAATAATAAAGCACTGTACCTTTGATCAATTCATATCTCTTTCAATATCTCTTTCCCAACAAAAAATTGGTTGGAACACGGGAGAGTATAGATAAGAAAACTGTGTAAGACATCGAGAATCCTTTGAAGATTATTTGAAAAACTATATACATTTTCATGTTTGAACGGTAACATTTTAAAATGATTATGAATGATTTAATACATGTTTGGAGTAAATTTGAATAGGGGCGTTCAAAAAATTTAATGACTCAAAAAAACTCGATTAACCCAACCCGACATGCATGCGAAAAGGTTAGGTTATCAAACTCCTCGCTTCTTGAAATTGAAGACTATCACTAAAAACCAACCCGAATTCTTTCCGAATACTTAACGGGATTTATGCCCTAAAGCCTCGTCATTAATTATTTAGTTTTTAAAAATTATTTTATTATTTTATTTATAATTTAATTGTTATTCATGGTATGAAAATCCAAGGTTATACGATCAAGTAATAACCGAAAGAGTCTATAGTATATAGTGTCTTATCCTGGTAACACTATTGAGAGTCTATAGTATATAGATACAGTTGGGTGTCTTATCCTGATAACACTATTGAAAGTCACTATTGATAGGATCCACTTTGTAATCGTTATAAATAATTTGATCCAAATCGTTCACAATTCATGTGAAGTCATGTAAGTGGAATATCCTATACAATAAGTTTGTATAAGACTGGACCAAGAAATATTTAATCTATCTTTATAAATTCTTTTATAAATTCGTTAATTGAGAAGATTAATATTTCACGTGATAATCATATACGACTATATACATTTGTAGAGAATGTTCATATTTTATTTCTATTTCGATATTCAAATTTAAAGAAATAATTGAATTCAATCACATGGATAACTTATTTTTCCATAAAATCTTAAATTCTTCCACCTGTAATTACAAAATAACTTAAAGTTCAACAATGACACTAACATGAAAAAGAATTGAAAATATACCTATAACATATCTTGATGCACACATACCAAGAAAAAGAAACAAAAAAAAAAAAAAACAAGAGGGTAATGGATTTAGTGCCTTATTCTAAAATTTTAAACCAGGAAATTGGTAGATTAAAGGGAAATAGTTGAGCAGGGAATCAGAAAATATATAAAGATTTTAAACACATTCAGAAATTTCAAAAGAATGTTGGGAATTCCTATTGCTTTTTTCAAGCAAAAACCAGATTCATATTTTGAATTGGAGAGGACCTAAGAATGGCATCCTTAGCACAACCAGAGGAAAATACTATGAAGCTTCTGGCGATGAAATG